TCCGTGAAGTGAATAATCAAGACAAAAACTAAAAAAAAATTTTATTTGCTTGTTGCCTACAGTTGAATTCGAACCCGACCATCTCCGGATATCAACAAGTTGTGGCAAGCATCCTTGCGCACTCAGCTACACCCAGGCATATAAATTTACTTTCAAATGTTGAATATCCATCAACACCACAGCACGCGATTTGTACTATGAATGTATGTGTGTGTTGTCACCGCTCTCTGAGCGGCGCTCTGCATGCTTGGGGTGCATATGTACACTTTACATATATGTACATACTCAGATGTGAACAGTCCAATACGTGCGTAATAAATTTTGTATAAAAATTTTATTTTTAAATACGAACATTTTTAAAAGGTAATCAAATATAAAGTATTCATTTTCACTATGCTTTATTTCCCTCAGTGTAGTTTTCGCTGTTGAAGTGGTTATGCCGATAACCCACTTGATTTAGCGTGGTTTCGCCATATAAAAATAACAGCACACTTAACCACAATGAAAAAATATTTTCGAATAACGAAATAAGGAAAAAAATAAATCATCAATACACCCTGCGAATTACAACCTTGAATAATTAAATTCGTAGACAACATTCTCCTCAGAGCTACCCTGTACTTGTTTCCGTTTAATTTTTTGAAAGCTTAAAATATAAACTTTTTCAAAAACTAAAGTATGAATTTAGGCTCTGCGCTTTCAAAAACTGTTTTTATTTCCTTAGACAAGCTTTTAAATAGAATGTATTACACGTATGACTGCGCTTACATTTATGAATGAAATCACGTATTGAACCAATTGCCGGCCTTGTATGTATGCATTTTGTTTATTTATAACGGGTGATTTTTTAAGAGCTTGATACCTTTTTTTTTTAAAAAAAACGCATAAAATTTGCAAAATCTCATCGGTTCTTTATTTGAAACGTTAGATTGGTCCATNTCAAAGCATACTGAGCATCTTTCTCTTTGACACCATGTCTGAAATCCCACGTGATCTGTCAAATACTAATGCATGAAAATCCTAACCTCAAAAAAATCACCCGTTAAAAACCAGTTCGAAGTCTGTTCAACGATTTTTCATTCTATGAAATAAACATTCAAATTTTCAACACAAACGATTACATATTTATGTATGAAAATTCTGAAAACAATGAACACATAAATATGCGATGTGGATGTACATATGTACAAAGGCGATATGTAATCGTATGCATATAATATAAAAAAATATACCGATTTCACCTCTTTAGCTATAATCACTGCAAATGACAGAAAATCACAGATCATCAAATGATGTAAATGCACTTGAAGCCTTTCCGTTCGTAGCGAACTGCTTCTATTTCTGGCTCACTTGTTCTCCCCTTACTCTACTCCATGGTTCATCTAACACATACATATGTAAAAATACTATATTTACATATATATTTATGTAGGTATAAATGTGCATGCTTACATGACCACCCACATAAATTTTACTAAAACCACCCACCCATGAAATTGTGAAATAAGAATTCATATAAACATCAGCGCGAATCCATGCCGACAACTAAGTAAATAGTTAAATGAAAGGAAAACAGTGCAGGCATAGATGGGCCGAAGTGGAGGGGTACAGAATCAATTACACCCCAATATATTTTTATAAGTTTGATAGTATAGTAGTTAATTACAAAGATTAAATTTGTAACCACAACGGTATATAGTGGGATGGGTGTTTAATGTGAAAGGCGCCACTGATCAGCTGAAGAGATCTTTGTTCTCACCTTCAGAAAATGGAGTGAGGCGGATAAACTTTATTGGTTACCGAAAAATGATAGTATCCAGCAATAGGTTCCAGCATAAAAAGATCCATCAAGCAACATTGATGTTGCCTGAAGGGACATGTCTCCACTTATTTAGATGTATTCAATGAGTGGAACATACATTGTCTCGGACCACTAAGAGCTTGAAATTTGCAGGCATGATGGAAAACGTTCTAAAATTGTTTGAGAAGGTTAGGCAACTTATGGAAAGTTTCGAGACCAGCTAGGAGTCTAGTAAAAACGACCAAGCCGACCTAGTGACAACACTTTTCACACACTGTTGAATAGTAAAAGCACCGAAAATGAACACGTGGATGGATGGAGTTAAGACCCCGTGAATTATTTCATCGGCGGTCTAAACTCATTTTGCGAATCCCGAAACCGCAATCTCAAAATAAATTTTGTCTTCAAGGCCTCGTTTAATTTTTTGATCGCAGCCTGATGTCACTTTTCAAAATGAATTGATCCGAGCCCGAGTCGATGACGGCGGAATCGGCTAAAGCGCACTGTCCACGAATTGAGCCTTATCAGTACAGCTTTAGATCTGATACATCCACCTCAATATTGATATATTGATATCAAATTTGATACGCACATTCCGTTTGGCCTGCTTAAGCATCGCATTGAAGATTTTTGAAATCTAACGAAAACCACGCGATTCTCCCTTGAAACGGTAACGGTATTTTAGAATGCGTGATTTTATCCGATTGCAAACATTTTCAATATGGTGTCTAAAGAGGCTGCAGGTGCAATAACGATTTATTTTATTGAAAAGCGGTGCCACCTGGTTAATAAATAAGTTCAAATTATTTAATAAGTTAAATCAATTATTACATTGTGGGTATCGATCGAAATGGTTTTGAAAAAGTTTTACTTATAAATAATACGTTGAAGGGTTGCCACCTATTAAAGAATCAGTTTCAACTTAAATTAAGGCAATTAGAAAATTGAAACATATTTCATTATACAGGTGCCAGGCGAAAAAGATTGTGGTTCGAAAATATTTTGAAGAGGGTTTCCACCTGTTTACAAATTAAATTCAACTTAAAGTAAAAGAATTAGTTACTTTAAATGTGTACCACAATTACAGTGTTAGATCTGAGAAATTTTAACTTCGAAAACAGGGTTACCACCTGTTTACAAAAGTTAAATTCAATGTATATAATATAATATGTGATTTTAATACATAATATCACGTATTCTATGTTTCAGTTTAGGGGCTGTGTGTGCCCTGGCACATCCTCGTTTAAATAACGATAAGTAAACATTTAAGACTCGCCGTTGCACATCGATTAAGTCGTAATACACAGCTCTCAAAAAAAATCTGAAGAAATATTTTTCATTATTTCTCTTTTCTATTCTATTTTCTTTAAGGAACAAATACACGAGCATTTTCTCTTGAGAGGTTACACCTCTGATACTGATTTGAGAAAATTTAATAGAAGCAAATATCTTTTTCATTTATTGAACGCCCTTTTATACGAATTTTATATTTTTATTGAAAGCTGTATATTAAGCTTCACATACGGAAACAATTTTTTTTAAATAAAATTGAAATGTTCGGGGACAATTTGTAAATTTTTAAGCGAAGTTCCGTCGTCCCTGGCCCATTCTGGTTTGGAGGGAGAACGAAAAATTACAGTAAAAATGACACAACGCCGAAACAGCTTTGTCTCCAAACAAAAATTGACACGCGATGACGGAAATTTGCTCCAAAATACATCATACAAGAATCCAATTTTCATGTTTTATTTGAGTCTTACTACAATCTGTATCACCATGTAATAATTTTGAGAATTCATCTCTTTTGCGGTATTCTTTATTTAGGCTTAGGGGGCCAATAGCTGCCAGAAGGTTTAAGTATAAACCAGGCCTACACTTTACTTATTTTCTCTTGGAGCACAACAGTTTTGCGTGTTTACTATTCATATTTTTTATAATACCTGAAAGCGAGCAGCAAATCAATTTCAATTCAAATTTTAATAAACAAAAATATTGAACACCCTCCAAAAAAAAAATATCTACTCAGCCTCTAGCACAGATAAGCCTCCACGTCAGCTGACGCAGCATGCAACACATGTCGGGGAGTGATGATTTGGCTATTAAACTGACTATTACGAACTAAATGGAATGAATTGAAATGATCACAAGCAAAGCGGTGACTGGGAGAGCATGTAACTCTTCGAAGATACCTCAAAATTACGAACAGACAGCAACGCGCATGCAAGAGCAACATCTACCTAGAACACGGGCACCAGTCGCGTTACAATTGCGGCATGGTTCAGTTGTAAAAGAGAAAAATACGAAATATTTGAACAAGTAGAGCTATCGCGACTGTCCCTAAACCCTTGCGCAATCAACAATAAAAAAATTTGCTGCAAATATTTGTGTTATAACAGGTGAACGCGTAACATGTGCTAGGCGAAAAGCATGCATTTAAGTGATAAAAAGTAATATGGCGCTTGCACAATTACCCCCCATACCAACGACGGAGGTGGCGAAGCTACTTGATCTACACCTAGGCGATACGCGCGATGCGGATCCCAATTGGCAGGTGATCGACTCCCCAATTTCGGGACGCGGCGTGTTTGCGCGACGTGACATCAAGCGCGGCGAGCTAATATTTCGTGAAAAAACGCTACTTAACGGACCCACCGCCTCCAAGGATACGCTGTTGAATACTTGTGCAGTGTGTTTTCGCCTCCTAGAAGGCCCTATGGAGGAAGTGCTTTGTGCCGCCGGCTGTTCGCTACCAATTTGTAAGGCATGTCAGCAATCGGGACGCCACGACATGGAGTGTAAGCTTTTCCGCTTTTGGGTGCCCAAGGATACTACGCGCATAAACCCGCACTCGTTACGCATACTGAGTGTAATGCGCTGTTACTTTTTGATACCGGAGAAGCGCAGGCTATTGCTTTCCATGCAGGCCAACAACGATAAATACTACTTTCGTGAAGTGGAACGCGCGGCGGAATGTTTTAAGAATTTCCCCAAAGACAAGGCAACTTTGGATTTTTTCTATCGCACAGTGTGTATTTATAATACAAATGCCTTTGAGGGTCGCAGCATAGTCGATGGCTATGAGACATCGGTACGAGCGCTTTACGCGCTGGCAGGACTTTTGAATCACAACTGCACGCCGAATGTATCTCACCACTTCGAGAACGGGCAAACTATTGTGGTGACAGCGGCGCGCGATATAGCGCAGGGCGAGGAGATCACGGCGACATATACGAAAATACTGTGGAGCACGTATGCCCGCCAGTGGTTCCTTTGCGGCACCAAACACTTCATCTGCGCCTGCAAACGCTGCTTGGATCCGACGGTGAGTTATGGCTGGCAATTAAAAATGTTATTCAACTGTGAAATATGTTCGTATGTGAAAATTTGTGGTGCGCTGGCGTGTGAAACATATTTTTCGGAAGAAAAAATGTGAGATAAGATTTTTCAAAATCATTAAAATTTATAAAACTGTGCGTGTGTGCGTTATTGTAGAACTAGTCGATGCTCTAAATAGAATCCAGGGAAATTTAATAAAAATGCGAATTATAATTTTCAAGTCAACATTCCGGCGAAAGTCACACCAGTAAAATTCTAAAATTATATAAAAACACAATTATTTTGTTATTTATATACATGTTGCATTCTATTTGCCTTTACCTATTAAAAAAAAAAGAAGAAAACTGTCAAAATCTGTCACAAACAGATACATTCACGCGACTCTTCGTCGCCTATTTCCCTTGGCATTCCCATTCTATTTTAATAAAACCAACAGCAAGAAGCAAGCAATCAAGCGAACAATGCAAAATAAACGCACACCTGTTGCTTTCTCGTTGCTGACATATCAAGCAATGTGTAATTGCTAGTACACTTTGTTGTGATGGAGGTGCTGAGTTGTTGGCGGGACGCTTGGCACACGCCACAGCACAATGGGCCGGAAGACTGAATAAGTGGCCAAAAACCAATGTTATTTAAAAGCTTAAAACAATAAATTTATTTAATCTAGATACCTTGAAGTATGCAAAAACAAAATATTATGACATTTGTAACATTTTGTTATGTTCATAACAAACTCAGAACCCACAAAATCTAAAAAAGCGTTTGAGGGCCTTAATTATGAAATAATTTGATGAATTTATTAATTAATTCTAAAACTAAAGATCTAGCTCTTGAATTTGTTTAAATGATCAGTAAGTGCTACAGGAAATTTCACGAAAGCAATTTAAGTAAAAAATGGTTTTAATTTTATGAAATTTATATGAAAGTTTACAGAAAATAAGAAATAATTTGATAATTATTTTTTTTAACTCATTTGAATTAATAAAAATTATTTCTTTAAGTAAAGTACACTATTCCGATTATCGCCGATGCTAGCCACCGCTGTTCAAAAAAAAAAATATAGCAAACTATTCTATAACCAAAGGTATATACATCAATAAAAATCGGCGGGCATTTTGCGCTTTTTGTAATTAATGAACATGTCCGGTACACGGCGTATGAGTAATCTTCCTTTCCGGTCATATCTATACATACATACATACATATGTAGTAGTATAAAGGAGAATCTCGAAAACTACTGAACGGATTTGTACGAGATTTTCTCGAATATATTCTGTATCGACAGGAGAGTGACCTTTGGTATTTAGAGTTTCTATAGGGTTGCCGCCTGTCTCAAAAATTATATGATCCGCACCGTTCGTTGGATTACAAACAAAATAGGTGTAAATTGAAACGGATTGGCCTCTAGATAAGCATTAATGTTATATTTTTTGGAGTAGGGTTTCCAACTGGTATCAGTTCTGCACTGTCACTGTCAAAGTCTCTTCACTTAGTCGCTAGATGTGCAATAATGTATTATTTTTTGCGGGTAGGATTGCCAACTGTTTAAAAATTACAAGATATTCACCTATTTACGCGCTAATATCGAAAGTTCCTTAACGGATTTGGGCGAGATTTTGTTTAATATAATTTGTAACGATTGAAGTATTATATTTAGTACTTAGAAATTCTATAGGGTTGCCCCTGTCTAAAAAATTATAAAATCCGTTAATTAAATTACCAAATGTGGGATTTCAAATGAAAGGGCTTGGCCTCTAGATGTTCACCAATGTATTATTTTTTGAGAACGGTTGCCACATTTTAAAACATTATAAGGTCTTCACCGTTCGTTGCACTTAAAATGAGGTACCAAGTGAGAGAGTGTGATTTTCGGATGTACAATAAGCTTTTATATTTTTTGAGTGGCATTTTTTTGTTAATGACATCAGATTTGTACAATTCATTCAATTATAGAGCTTGGCCTCCGGATTTGCTAACAGGTTTTATTTTTTCGAACAGGGTTGCCACCTGTACAACTGTATAAGATGTGGGATGTTCATTGGCCTAAACAGTGAGTTGTCAAATTAAAGAACTTGGCCTCCAGATGTGCACAACTAAATTCGTATTTTTATTTCTTTAAATAACATAAATTAAATAATTAAAATTATAGACTTAGTTGATAGATAGGCAACCCTACTCAGAAACATGTTAGTGTTAAAGCTTGTTTAACCACCTTCCGTTTGATATCCATGTTGTGATATTAAATAAGCATACATTGTTTTAATAAATGTAATTGTGACTTTTTGGAAAGGTGGCAACTCCACTTAAAAAATATTTTTTTTCATCTCTTCAACGGTTTTGTTTTACTATAGAAATTGAAGTATGCTGTGGAGCTGTTGAATAATTATAAATTTTCATACATCTGGCAACCTTGTCTTAAAAATTTTTTTCCCAGAAGCTTTCTACGGAAGATAACAAGTAGAAAGGTGGAAAATGGAATAAATCCCCTTAGATGTTAATATATTTAAATCTGTTTTTTATAACCTTACACTTTTCGGTACTTTGTGACATACCACAGATTTTGATACCTTAAATAATAAGCTATACCATAAAAATATTTTTTTCTGATTTTTTCACGTTTACATAGTTAAGCAACGATTTTGGCAACTTTTTCTGTTTTCTGGCCCACTGTGCACAGCCGCAACCACAATCGCAAAGACGGACAGTGTAACGCACATCGCCGAAATAATTTGTTGCAGAGCGGAAAAATTGATGGGTACACTTGTACGAAATATTTAAAAATTACTTTTGAATACATTGACTTTGTTTGTGTTATTTGTGATAATCCGTTTTATTGTGCTGCAGGCAAATTTTATGTGAAAATTGTCAACGGAAAACTATAACAACACATTCCGACATGAAAATTTTACGAAATACGAGGCTATCCATTTCTAATTGATTATTCCTTGTTTAATTCGAATCTAGACTCAGAATTGCTCTATCAAATGAGGTTTCTTAATTATTCTAACCTAAAATTACAGTTTAGGTCTATTTTAAGAATTTGTTAAGAAGAAATATAATTTAGAATGCCATGTATATTTTTTCTAATAGGTGGGACAAGTAGGATCTATAAATATTTTTATGTATTAAACACATTTAATGCAACTTAAGAGGTACTATGTGTGAAAAATTTCTTTAAAACAAGTAAGAAAGTCTAAGTTCGGGCGGAGCCGAACATTAAATACCCGGCGCAAGTATTAAATATATGTTTTCCACCTTTCCGAAAGCTACCGCTACATGATAAGCCGGGGTGTATACATTTTAAGTAAATTAGCGTCCTTAAATTTCGAAATATTGAAATTTCAAGCATATCTGAAATTTACCGTTATATGAAAAGCGGCCTCAATTTTAGTCCGATTTCAACAATTTTCAACGGTTTGCTTTTATGTGGCAAGCACAATAACCATACCGAGCTTGGTACAAATTGCTAGAACGGTTAGCGAGATACATATAC